ATTGATCTAAAATATCCTGGGGTACTATCTGTACTTGTGTATTCTTGTATAGCCTTGGTCCAGACTTTGTTATATTAAATGAACTAATAATTAAATATTAAAGCAAATATTATTTTAAATAAAATTTTATAAAAAATATATTAATAAAATATGTAATAAATGAACTAATAATTAAATATTAAAGCAAATATTATTTTAAATAAAATTTTATAAAAAATGTACTAATAAAATATATAACAAACTATTGTAAAAATATTTAAAATAAATAAAATAGACTATAAATTATGTGATGGCTAATGCTGAAGTTTGGCTGATGTTGAAGCTAAAAAATCTGATTGGTTAGGGTTAGAGTAATCTGCAAAATTTAGTCAATCAGATTTTTTAGCTTTAACATCAGCCAAACTTCAGCATCAGCCATAACAAATTATATAAACAAACTAATAAAATAATAAAATATACAATAATAATATAAAATATATAATAAAAATTTATTTAAAAATTATTAATAAAATTTTGTTTATATTACAATATATAAAATTTTGCTTTCTAGACTTATTTAATAATAAAGAAACATTTGTAGTTTGCAAATTCTTTTACATTTTTATAAAATTTAAAAGATAGTTAAAATAAGATAAAAAAATATTATCAATCAAAACAAAACAACTCTCCCTGATGATCACTTGAACCAAATTTTTACCAAACAAAAGATGAAGAGTTGAAGTCTAAAATCTTAGTAAAATTTCTATCCCTGGTAATGGAGTATTATTGACGAAGACTGCTGATATAATACACCAAGGTGCAGGTGACTGTATGTTGGTTTACAGAAGGGTCAAGCTTTTCTCTTTGGTGGACTCTCTTTACGTATTCGGCATCCAAACCAAAAGGATATTTTGGAAACACTATAGCACAGAAATCTATATTTGGAAAGAAGAAAAGACTAAAGGATAAAACAAACAGATTGGAAAAGTACTCTATAAATTTAGAACCTCACAACACTACTTTTTTTTTTTGGGCCGTTCTTTTTTTTTATAATTTTCGATAAAAGTGGGATTTGACTACCCCTCCAAAAGATCGGCAAAGAATTGGCATTGTTTACCACTTCCATTCTCGGCAAGTCTTGAGTTGCAATATGACGAATTAGAAAAAACAACAAACATGTGTGAGGAGAAAGTTTTGAGGCCGGAATTAAAACTGACAATCATATGTCGAGGCTTTGAAGTTGGACGTTCCAGGACCTGAGTTAGATTTAATATGAGAGTTGGCAACTAGAGCAGTTTTATGAGATATGCAATAGTCTGAAGTTATAGGCATATAATTTTTATCTCTTAGCACAGGTTAAAGTGCACTTTAGTGTCTTTTGTCAAATAGCTCTATATATAGATTTCTATGACTATGTAGATAGTTTTTCATCTGGTTAGCAGGTTTTTATATTTGTAGACAAGTTCTCTTAGATTTTAGGATAGTCTTTTAACTTCTCTATATTTTGGTCGTCTTCTTTGTATGTTCATTTTTTTTACTTGCCTCTTTTTCATTTTACACTTACCTTGTTTTTTTCTTTTTTACTTCTCTATGAGAAAGTGTTATCAGATTGGCGACATTCTATTGTAGAGCAGTGGTTTTGACAAGATTAGTGAAACCATCTGGTGAAGTCTGGGTTCATAGCCTCAGTAAGTTGAGGTTCCAGATAGAGAAAAATTGTCACTTAGGCAGGTTGTTTCTGGGTCATACTCTAGCGTTTAATTATAGATGACTATAATTTTGCTGCGATAATGAGACAGATCAAGAGATTCTTTATTTGGACAGGCCTAAAGTATTCTTACAAGATAATGTAGGTTTAGCTAACTGATGTATCTAATTGTAATTTACTGCTAATTTATAAAATAAAGGAAGGATCACTAAAGTAAAAAAAAAAAAGATAAAAAAATATTATTGTCGTGAAGTTGATCAATTTTTTTATAATTTTTACTATTTATTTATATGTGATAATAAGTAATATACATTATTTATCCAAAATAGATAATAAGAAAATATCTAATAAATTTATTTAATTGATATTTTCTTATTATCTATTTTGAATAAATAATATATATTACTTATTATTATATATAAACAAACAGTAAAAATTATAAAAAAATTAGCCAACTTTATGATAATGATATTTTTGATTTTATTTTCAACCACCTTTTAAATTTTGTAAAAAGATTTTTTAAATATAAGAAAATTTGCAAACTGCTACTCAGAAATTAAACCAAACACTTTTTTATTATTAAATAAGCCTATAAAGCAAAATTTGTTTAAATTTTATATATAAAATTTATATGCATTGATTATTTGATTTCATATTAAAAATTTTATATATAATAAATCATATAAATAATATGTTATATTTAAATTTTTTATATATAAAACTATAGCAAAAAATATATAGAATTATATATAAACTTTATTACAATAATTTTTTTAACTTATATATTAATAAGCAATCCACAAGATACTTGAACAAAAATTTTTTTTATATATAAATTTTACTATAAGTTCAAAAGTATAATGCTTCTATCTAAACCTTTTTTTTATTAATTAAATTATTTTAGGCTTTTAACAAAGTTGTAAAGCTTATTAAGATACATTTAATAGTAATAAGAATATTAAAATTCGCTTAGTAGTTCTTGAAAAATCTTTAAAAAGCTTCTTTTCTATATATAAAATTTCTTTAAAAAAATTAATTTTTTTAAAAAAATTTTATATGTAGAAAAAAGTTTTTTAAGACTTTTTAAAAATTACTAGGCTAATTTTAGCATTCTTACTACTATTAGATATATTTTGATAAGCTTTACAACTTTTGTTAAAAGCCCAAGAGTAATTTATTTAATAAAAAAAGTTTTAAATAGAAGCCCTACACTTTCAAGCCTATAATAAAATTTATATATAAAAAATTTTTTGTTCAAATATCTGTAGATTGCTTATTAACTTTAAATTAAATTTTACAAATAAATACATTAAAAAAAAAAAAAAAATACAGTCAACTCTCTATAAACTGAATCTCTCTAAACTGAACACTTAATAAATTCTCTGAAAACTGAACGAAAAACTTTAAAACATTTGTAAATTTTATTATAAAATTTGGATTAGCAATATATAACTCTTTAAGAACTAAACTTTTAAAAATTTTTACATATAAAATTCCTTAAGTATATTTTTTGCAGAATAAACAGAGTAGACTATATATTTTAAATGAATTAAAATTTGCAATTTTAATATAATTTGAAAATATAACTTTGTTAAAAAAATTTAGCAGTTTTAAAATATTAATTATTACAGACTATAATAAAATCAGATTAAAATGAACTGAGAGGTTTTATTTGACCTTCTAAAATCTATTTATACTTGTTTATTATAAAACCTGCTTCTAAATCCTAATTATAACTTTAAAAAAATATTAAAAAATTTATTGTAAAAAAAAAAAAAATTGTATGATTATTATTAAATTATACTTGTTTAAATCCTCATTATTTTCAAATTGTATTAGTATATATCGAATATATTTTTATTTGTATTTAGCCTTGAAACTCTTGATAATGCTCGTATCCATGAGCTGAAGATAAGCAGTGGTGTTTGGTGGTAAAAACTCGAGTTTAATATTGGTTAACCTTATATTTGAATAGTCAGGTATAATATGTAGCTGACCATAACCACTACCATAACGGTCTTTACTACCACCAATACTATGACCATGACTACGATTACGATTACTATGACTATTTCTTGCACCTTGGTTGGTTCTAATTAATCTTGGTCTACCTCATCCCCACGTAAAACAGTTGAAGTTTTGGGTTCTAATTTATTATTAGATATTTTCTCTGAATCAGAATTGGATCTATCTGATTCATGCGGTTCATTAACATTAGGTTGGTTATAAAAATGTGAAGTGGTATTATCTACTAGTAATAAAACCTGACGATTTTGAATTCAAAACCTCTCATCTAAATTTTTTAACCATTCAGAGAATATATCATTTCACATCCATACTCTAGAATTTGTGCGATAGATGACAGATAAAGAATCATAGTTAACATGCTTAAGTGCACGGTGAGAAATTGAAGACCCAATAACTAATAGCCTTAATTTTTCAGTTCCGGTCGTATTACATGCCAACATAACAGTAATCTGCGAATGACTCTAATTAATATTTGAAGGTTAATTTTTTAAATTAAATTTTTTGCTGTTTTTGGATTAGTACGATAAATTTCATTTATCGTACTAGTACAAAAACAGCAATACTGTAATTATCAGGGATGGTAAATGACTTAACAAATGACTAGTCATTAGTCATTTCGAATGGCTAAATGACTGAGAAGGTCATTTAACATATGTTAATTGATATTCTAACACTTTTAACAAATCAAAATTGTTACAGGATAAATGCCAATTTTTATATGATAAAACATATTTAATAATCGTAACCTTTTTAAAAGTTAAAATTCATTAAGCTAGTCAATATTTATGCTGTAAGTTAAAGCGAATTGCATATACTCCAACAGTTTCATGTAATTTGAATAACTTTTTATTAATTCACTTTCGCATTTATAGAAAATTAATAATTTTTTTTATTTAAATATGAAATGCAGAAGTGAATTAATAAAACGTTATTCAAACTATATGAAACTTTTAGAGTATATGTGATTTGTTACGTATTCCGAATAACTTTACTTAAAATATACTGTAAATAATGACTAGCTTAGTAAATCTTTAACTTATACTGCATATGGAGCTACGATTATTGACTAGAAAACTAATAGCTTTTTTAGTTATCAAACCAATAAAATTATTTTATGCATAAATGATCCAAATAACCTTAATGACCCAAATAACAGGTCATTATTTTATGACTTGAAGTCATTTAAATTTTGATCAAATGACTAGGTCATTTACCATCCTTGAGTAATTATAATTTAGAATAAACTAACCTTTTTAAATTCAGGTCTTGATTTAGACACAAGTGTTTAATCTGGTGCCATATGGAAGAAGAGCTCTGTTTTATCTGCATTGAACACATTATCCAATGTATACTTTTCGATCAATTCACGTAATTTTTGTCTATACTCCGGAAGTGAAGATAATGGTGCACTATTTGCTTCTCTGTGTAGTCTGAAATTTCTAAGATTATTACATCGTTTAAATTTTTGGATCCACCTATTTGAAAATTTTAAAGTATCATCTCCCAGATTCAATGCCTTTGCAAAGCAGGTTGCCTTTTCTCTAATCATTAATTCTGTTAAAATCATTTCTCCACTAGTAATTTGTTCAACCCAGAGTCTTATTGATTGATCTAATATAGGATATTTTACTTGCTTATGCCTAAAAATTGTAGAACTTAATTGACTTTCCGTAACGGCTAACCATTTTGACTTATCACTCAAGATTTTAGAAATCATAGACCGATTTAAATTTAAGTTAGAATCTTGGAAATTGAAGTACTTTGCAATATCTACTTTGTC